AAAAAAAAAAAAAAAAAAGAAAAAAATCGATTCACGAATCGACATCACACCATTAGTTCAACTATTAATTTTTAACGTTTGACAGGCACTGCCTGTGTACGGGACATGCAATCAATATTAACATGCTCCTTGTGCGTGGTTCCGAGAACGATACGGCAGGTTTGTTTGAAGTGCTGGAAAGCAATGGATAGTCAGTTACGGTATGTTTTACCGTGCATACTGTTAGCCCACTTATACGGCGAAAACTGCTCTATTAACGCAATGCAGCTCAACTTGGAGGACTCCAGTTTGGAGTTCTATCAGGGTTAATTATTAATGAAGTTGGGCATTGTTTACTATACTTGTCACATTCCCTTTTTTCCATCCAGACTCAGTCGATTTGGGTTTTTCCCCGTCTTAAACCGCGGGGCTGTTGAAGTTTCAAAAGGCACCTCCTATGAACTGCTTTGGGAATAGTCCCTGGCCTTCACAGTTTCCTGCGCCATCTTGAAAGGTATCGTTTCTATGAAAAGACGCGGCTACCTTTCAAGATGGACCTTGGAACTGTGAAAGAGACTATTGCTGCAAAGGGTGTAAACCGATGAAGGCAGAACCCCAAAATATTGATAAGGAGACAACAAAAAATGTGTTAGAATGCATACCATATATCCGTAAAAAACGTCGTAAGAAATTACACAAATTTGCACAAAGTAGTAAGTTCAGTAGACCTCAGTGATCTCAGTAGATCAGTAGATCGTAGACCTACAAAACTTTGCAGTAATTTGTACAATTTTGTCAGTGACCTTTTTCACGGATATATTGTATACACTTTATCTTACCTCATTACTGCCATATTGCACTGCTCGCAATTAATTGGTGGAGTACTTCCCCTATCATGTATAAGACAAAAGAGATGGCCGCCATCTTGTTTAATACGAAAAAAAATGATTGACGGCTGTCAGTCAAAACATTAACATCACAACAGGCCGTATTCGCTTCATAAGTAAATAACATTTATTTGTAAGTTTCTTTTCCAATATAATATGGTCATGTCATTTTGCTAAGATAAAAATGTCTAATGTATGCAATATTATTACCAAACAGTCAACATAAAAATACTACTATCATATATATATCTATCTAGCTTAGAACTGCTCAACTAGCTAGCTAGCGATACTTTGTGGTAGGACGTGGAAAGTTAGAAATGTTGTACAAATAGATGTCCAGTAATAGATGCCTGGAAATCTCTCGAGACATTGTCAAGAACAATGAGGATAAAATGGACACGAAAATCTATACTTTAAATTCTGATTGTAACAAATACTTTTGTTGGATAATTATTTATCTACACTATTTCAGTATCATATCTACAAATTTAGATCTTAATTCTACATTTAACGCCTTGGCCATAAATACTTCCAAGCGACCTATTTGGATATTACTATAATATACTTCGACTAGGTGATAATTGTAAATTATTGATTCTATTCGTGATCACATCTATTACACAATGGTTTGGTTGATATATTTGGTACCTTAAGTCAGACTCAGATCAAACGTAGAGCTTCACATGAGCCGAACCTAATTGAAACTATGGATAACAAGGTGATGTTCTTTGATGTCATTAGGTTCGGCTCATGTGAGATTCGACGCTTGAAATGAGACCAAGAGAATTCAATAAGCTATCCCATCTGTTAGACAAAACTTGCATTTACCCAATGTCGCACATTATAAAACATGTTGCTTAACGAGCTTGTCGGGCTGTGAAAACTGCAACAATATTGACATCCATTTTCATCCAGCATGTTTTGCAGCCATTTTTCTTTGCAAAGTTAAACTTGTTACAATTCGAATGAGATGAAATTTTAAAGGTTATGAAAAATTTATCAAAATTCTGATAAAAGTTGCTAGAAAAATGACATCTTGTAAGTTGGAATTTGCCTCTTTTTGAGTGGGGAGGGGGGGATTAAAATGTCCAATGGCATACAATAGATGTTGATTGAAAATGGACTTCAATATTACCAGACATTTAGCTTTTTAACAAATTGGTTTACCATTAAGAGTTCTGTACTCTAAGAACTAATGCTAGAATGAAAGACACAGCTCTAAAAATATAAGGTTAAATTTCACACTGTTTGCAAAAATAAATGATTTTCGATAACCCTCAATTATTATTAGGTGAATGAGCTTCAAAATAAATAGTACGAAGATTTAAAATGCAAGACTAAAAACATGTAAAAATGCATTCCAGAAAATCTATGAGAAATGTTGGTGAAATTTAAGCTCTTAAAATGTTTCAGGAAAATGGATGGAAGTGTACAATACAGAATGAAATGTTGAAAAAGAAAGTTACGACTTCAATAATTTATCATGACGGTTGTTTTAACCAGGAGACTTGGGTTGGTTAGTAAATAAGCGAAGTAAAAATACACAAGTCCATGATAATGTCATAAAAGTTAAAACACAGACAGACAGACARGGACCGACCGACAGACAGACAGACAAAAGGTAAATGGGACTACTCTCAGTACATGAACAAACTACGAATTATTAACGTGATTTCGTCACGATCCTGAACCACCACTAGACTTTACTACGCATGTAGTCAACCTACACGATAAAACGGTGTAAAGTATAATTTATATCTGTTATTAATTATAATAATATATATTTATATATGTACATGTGTATAGAACTTAATCCATTTATATTACCGCTGACCTACTAGCAGCTTTTGCCATTAAATTAGAATTGACTCGAAGTTTCTTAATTATGCACATAACGACATTTTATCTAAAGAGTTTGGTATAAAAATGATGATCCTTTTTCAGCAGCCAAGTGCTGAAGCATCAGGTTGTCGAGATAAAAGATATTCTTCCATAACGCTCGCGTTTTTCATCTTAAATTCCGGTTGATCAGATATAAATAATGTAGACAGGCACGGAAATTAAAAAGGCCACAACAATAAAAACGGCTCAAAATGAAAAGAGAGAAACGGTGCAGACAGATGAAAGTATTTTCTTGACCTGCTCGTAATTCGTTTATATAAAAAAACAAAAAACAAAAACAAAAAAAAAAAGAATAAAATCTTATTCATTCATTAGGCAAACATTGTTGCATAGAAAACTTTCAAGGGCCCAACATTTGAACCAATATTTGAGACCGTTTGCCATAGTCTGGGCTTGTCTAGTTATGCCGATTTTCACGACAATAAGTGCCAACCATCTGCCGACAAATGTTGGGTCAAATGTTGGGCCACTTGTTAGGGCCCTAAGCAAAAATAACCATTTGAAATATATATTGTCTATCTATCGAAGGTGTGACTAGCATACAATTTTGTCTGGTACTAGGAAAAAAACACTTAACATTCAGATTTTTCCAGAAGATGAATAAACGCGTCATGGAGCTGTGACAACATACACAGATGAACAGGGAGACAGGAGCGACGATCACGTGATACTGGGTCGATATTTAACCATGACAGAGCGTCGAACTGCTGCAATATGTACCTTTGAAAGGAAAACAAATCGTTAGTACGTTGAGTAACTGAAGTGGGTTTTTTTTGGAGGGGGAGGGGCTTATTGGAGGAGAACAAAGCACGGCGACGGTACGGGTTTATGACATCAGTTATGCTATATGCTATATAAATACTATATCTTTGTAGACGATGTTATGGCGTAGCTTCACGTCATTTTCCTGTCTCGCAAGGAATGTTCATCAGCTGAATCACAATTTTCTAATGGAATTCTTTCTGGCTAACAGCAGGTTTAGGCTTCACGATTTTTGCAACGTCCCCTGTGATTGGTAAGGTTTAGGGACGGGGTTGAGGAAAGGTCATTGTTTCCTATTGTTCTACACGTGTGCCCTCCAATAGGATCACATCTTGCAAATTCGTGAAGGACGACCCATGGTGGTCAGTGATCGATTACCATTTGTAGCAATTATAAACAAGATATAAAGACGCTTACTTCAGAACATCACAATTGGCATGTGAATTCAAGGGGTGTGTTGAAACTGTAAAGCCATTGGTCAATTCGATGATCTCTGGGTTATGGATAAACATGGACGCCTGAAATAAAAACGTACGATTCATATGAAGGATATAGCTACTGATTAATATAATCCAATCAAGACGCGACCATTTGATAAGAAAGGGTAGGACTATATATGACCTCGGGTTCAAATCCCGGAATTGTGATCACATGTAAGTAGAGTTTTCCAGCTTTTTCCCCTCCTCAAAACCTAACACGCTAAATTCCAATTTGATCTGTTAGTTAGCTGTGCCCTAACTTGCATTTGCCCAGAGGTCGTTGCAGGGTTCGATCTGTGAGTTAACCATGCCATGACTTAGATCAGCCCAGAGGTTGTTTCAAGGTTTGATCTGTGCGTTAGCCATGCCCTGACTTACATCAGCCCAGAGGTTGTTGCAGGAATCGATCTGTGAGTTAGCCATGCCCTGACTTAGATCCGCACATAGTTTATTTCAAGGTTTGATCTGTGAGTTAGCCATGCCCTGACTTACATCAGCCCAGAGGTTGTTTCAAGGTTTGATCTGTGAGTTAGCCATGCCCTGACTTAGATCAGTCCAGAGGTTGTTTCAAGGTTTGATCTGTGAGTTAGCCATGCCCTGACTTAGATCAGTCCAGAGGTTGTTTCAAGGTTCTACTAGAACACTTACCCTTAATATCACAGGGTGTAGTTTTTCAGCCTGTGGATAGTTTGCCCAAAAGGAACTGGGCAGTTTCCCAGTGTGTACTGTCGATATAACGTAGCCCTGCGCCAAGGGTTGTAAGATAGGGCAGTCATCATCAACCTTGCCCTGACCCGGCTGAGAGGTAACACTCTTAGATGGCGATGCCGCTGCTACAGGCTGGAAAGGGGACGCTCTTCCTATCGGCTGGAATGGTGAATGCGCTGACACTGCGGGCGATGAGGTAAGGTTGGACACTCGTGTGTGGGGAGAAGATGAATGAAGATGGTTTTCATCGAGAGGTGATGTCAAGGGTGAGCCGAGGAGAACAGCAGTGGGGGAAAGAGGAGTAGGAGAAGTATTCAACAATGGGAAAAGATGTCGTAGAGGGTCTGCGTCACTTTCATCGTCGTCTGCTCCAGCCAATAGTATATCGGTATCGGTGATGACAGTTTCAGTGGTAGTTTCTGGGGTCATGACAGTTTTATTATCCATTGGTTTACTGGTTCCCTTGTAGTGGTATATAGAGGTAAATACTGTTATATAGGTTCTGGACACGTCAGGTTTCGTAATACTGGTCACGGGGGTCTGGTGATTGACATCCAAACTAGTGCTTGCTTTTGTAAGACCTGGAAAATGAAGAAGAACTGTTATAAAACATGTCAGGTTTAATCTCAGCTACAATTAATACAATTAATGGACCTCCGGTTTTTTATACGTCGCCTCTCCCTGTCGTGGTCGTGGATACAACCCCAGACTCGCCATCAAAAGTTAGTAGAGCTGTTTGTTGGTTCTCCGTGCTTTTGAATGGTTTCCTCGGAGTTTTCCGGTCTTTCTCCCTTCGCAAAAATCTTCTAAATTTCAATTCGATTTGATCTTGCATGAAGCGCTGTTGTTATGAGTATCTGGCTCGGAAGACAGAGTAATGACTCCCTGTGCCGACGATCGATGCATTACAATACTAACCTTTCGCCATGTACATCCTCAATGCGGGTTCAGGTTCTAAGGCAATCAGACTTGCACCAATGATGGTAGGACGCAAATCACTTCGCAGGGAGAAGCAAGCATTGCATGCTTCTCGGCCAAAAGGTTCGCGTGTTTCGTATGACGTCTTGCTCAGGATCTCCTTCCAGTCTGCAATAATACATCGATGTGCAACAAGAATTAAAAAGTAGATATACTGATTTTCATTTAAGAATAAGACCCGTTCCACGCGCCGCTCTACTCATATGCCGAACCAATTTAATGAATTAAATACGGCAAAAGAGCAGCCAAGAATCAGTTGCTGCTCCAGTGTCGCATTATGCGGCAAGCTCTGTCGAACTTAACATGTTTGACGTATCCAATTGAAACTGCCTAACCTAAGAGATTCATGCTCCTCTCTTTTGCTGTACTTAATTTATCAATTAAGTTGGGCGCAACGGGGCTGATTGAATTAGACTTAATAAGCTCGCCGTCTCAATCAGTAATCGCTCAATAAAACATTAAGAGTGTATTATTAACAGTGTGCAAAGCAAAAAGACCTGTTTGCCTTAGGCTACGTGTCATTTATCTTTATTTGAGTTGTATCCATTCATGTGTCTTCTCATGCGCAACCGTTATTACAAAGAAATGATACTCTAGGGAATGACACGTGGTCTGAAATGGGGAACACATTACGCTCGATCCTTGATCGAACTAAGACTAACCTCGAATCTCTCCTTGACCCATTCGACCCATCTTACAAATCACGAGTCTCCATGACGACAAACTAGACGATATCACCCCAACACAGAACTCCCAAATCTTCCTCAAGGCCTTTGTACGGGTTGGCGTCTTCCTTGGACGACCATCTGTTCGAAGAGGCGGTCCAACACTTATGGCATTAGTCTCAATCACCTCTCCTGTGCCATCAGTACATACGGTCAGCAGCCACCGCTGGTCACGTGATAAACAGTACCCACAGTGTAAGACCAAGGTGGAACGACTGGCGGGGATCACTTTGTCGATGCCATTTTCATTTGTTTCGATGACTGGTGTGATTGGAGTATCAAGGACGAAGGGACAGGAGTAGAGCTTCAAGCAAATAGTATCAACCTAAAGCAATATACCAACAATCCTTTAGTATAGTATTTTTGCTACATTTGAGCTGGAACCAAGATGAAATTTTTTTTTTGAACTCGGGAATGTACTTCAGGGCTTCCGAATGAGCTTAAGGACATCCGAAGAAACTTCGTAACTTTCGAATGAACGCTGGAATTTCCGAACAAACTTCGTAGCTCTCGAGCGAATTTCGGATTGTCCGGAAAAAAATCCGAACTTCAAAACAAAGTTCGGAACCTTCAACCCAATATTTAACTTCCCATCTGAACTTTCCAAACAAAGTTTGAAACTTTAGAAAAGACTTTCAAACGAACTTTGGATCCCTCTGGTCGTGAAAAGTATCGAGAGACTTGTCTCAAGCAGCCACTATTAGTGTCGTCACACAACGGTCTGTCCCGTAAGTAGCTTAGGGGAGTGAGCGTTGCGTGACGATAATAATCGAGAGACGCATTTTAAGACTACATTTGACTTACTTCCTTATTCTTGACGCTTGCTTCCTGGCCAGCAGCAGGTCCAAAACCTGTTAACGACTTGGCATTCATGTTTAACTGGATAGTCTTCCTGCACCGTGAGAACACTGAGAAGGCAAGACACTTGAGCTGCATGATAAACGACATGGACGACTCTCTGCATTTGGTCAGGTTGTCAACTTGAAGGATTTGGCTTAAAGGAACGACCTAGGTAATACAGGAATCAATTGAACTTCAGTATAAACAGATTTCCAAGACCCAATATTGACGCATGCGCAATTCGTTATATGAAACGGGACGACAATGATCTCTAAGTACCAATAAGATTTATTTTCACTCAATTAATCCATTGCCGTTTAATTCTAGTTGGCTTTAGTAGGTATCTCCCTTGATTTGAGGGTTTTATCGCCGGGTTTTTCCCTTTCCGCAAAAAGTAGCACTTTAAATTCCAACAGAATCTGTGAATAAGCCATGACTTTGACTAGTCCAGAGGTTGTTATAGAGTTCGATAAATTTGAAACCCTCAAAATGAAAATGGAGTATCACAATTGAATACAATAGACTTATAAGGTACTTGAAGCCATCCTACTCTAACACCAAAGCATTACAATATTCACCTGCAGGACAACATTACTCTTTACATTATCAGTCAATCCCTGTGTCATCTCGGCAAAACACCGTAGAAGTCCTATATACGAGATACTACTGGCCGAGCCATTACTACCCGTGAAAGGATCCACGAGGTACACCACTATCGTAGGAGGTTCGTCACTTATGGTTTCTTCGTCATCACCGGTGGGTGTGGAAGCACTGTCTGATGTAGGGGTCCCAATACTGTCATCAAATAAGAGAGTTTATGATCAGTATCAATTCACCGATTGGCTCCTAGATTGCACATGGTGTACTTGGTGTTACGATCACCAAAACGTTCGGACATCGTTATTGGATTGTCGTAGTGGGGGTCAGCTGCTTTCAGGGGCGTAGCGAGGTCTCTAGGGAGGGGGGTGGGGGTGCAATGTACCAAATCCACATAAATCCCGCATCAATTAATTAAATTTTGGTACCAAAAGCAAACTTTTGGGTCTCCCTTCCTATGCTAGTGGCCGTTTAAAAGGGATCAATGACTTACGTTCCCGCTCTGGAGCCATCGGTGCCTGAGTATGGAAAACCATTGTCCGTTTTAGGGTTCACTTTTTCGTCTGATTTGTCTCGTTCAAGTAACTGCCGGTCTACTTTAAGAGTTGATAGTAAGGGAGCTAAGATAGAAAGAAGAGCAAGCAAGTTAGTAATATTATTGAAATAACTTGGAGCGGTATTACACCTACATCTCATCTCTGGGGTCTTGGTTCTAAGGTCTCGGCCCTCAGGTCTCGCATATCAGGTCTGGGGTCCCGGGTTTCGGCTTTCAGATCTTTGACCCACAATGCACAAACATTCTCGCAATTTCTAAGCAAGCATATACAATAATGTTATTCAATGCTGTTCTTGACTCACCAAGATGATGCTTGCAAACTAGTGCATACAGCTTTAGCCTGGCTCCTTCACTTGTGGTACCTAAAAAATGGAAAAATTAGCAATATATTCATTGAATAGTCATTATCACTTTGCGGTAGTTAAGTTCTGGGGCGAGATCCGCGACTGTTGTAATTTGAGGAGGTTAACGAGGAAGAGGAACACCACCGCCACCAGGGGAGGGGTAGGGCAAATTTTTGCTTCTAAAAGCTCCGAACGATGTTGTGAAAAAGGGATGTGTGTACAGTTCATTTATATGCTCAGTAATAATGAATTATGCAGTTAGGATAGCGTATACTCTCTGCTAAGATACCAATGATCATTAATTATTGATGATATTTTGAAATTATCTCTATATGACAGGTATTAATGTTATCTAAGTCAATCCACATACTTTGCTGGGAAAACCAGTCATCAACATTTTCTTTTGACAATTTAAGTGACTTCTGTCCCACTCGTAAGATACCGTCTCGCAGTTTGGCGATGGGAACATGTTGGCCCAGTCGGCAAGTCTGACAAAAATAAACATCAGTAAAAAAAACACATTAATAATGAGTAGAAGACACTGATTTTCAAACGATTTGCTTCAATCTGGGCATAGGAAATTAAATAAAAGAGGGTATTGGGGTGGTGCTATGGTTACGGAATAGGTGGCATCACTCAAAACAATTACAGTGCAAATAATCAATATACGTATGAACTTACTAATGTAGACCATTCGTACTGCAGGTCTAATTGTTAGCCAATCAAAATTGTCGGACACGGCACGGTTATGGTAACGGCAAGGTACGTATGTACCGTGTCAATAGAGAGTTTAAGACTCTCGTTTACGGCAAACGTGAAACGTCAGTTGACCATTAAAACATTCGTTAAAATTAGTGAAAAGGAATCACAAAAATCTCCAAGTATTAGCTAAACAAAAGAATACTTGTCTTTGTCGAGAAGGTTTGCAAAAGGTAAAGTGAAATGTAGGGAAACGATGAAAATGTGGTCACGTTTGCCGTTTGAGGGAAAGAAAAACGGGAATCTTAATCTGCCTAATAAAAGACTTTAGTCGTCTAAATAAGCAAACCCCTTACCTCATACAAGGAGCTGAGTTCTTTAAAGAACAGTTTAGTACTGGTAAGTACAGGGTCATTTTCTGGTGCAACAACGACGTACGCAATGTCTCTTTTAGTAGAGAATGGCTCCAACAACAGCTTCTCCTAAAACATAAACGTAGAATGGTATTTTTAGTGCTAGAATTCAAAAACCTGAACCAATTCAAAGGTAAACAATTGGGAACGCTGGCTGTTACAAAGGCCTATTATAAACGCCGTGCCGTACTTAAATGATGAATTAAGTCATGCAAAACACTGGTAAATACTACTGTGTTCGGCAAGGCTTGACGCATGACACGACACTGCACAGCGCTTTTCTCATGTACTGAACCTTATACAAGGATTATGACAAGTGGAGATCTCATCCTTTCCGACTCATCCCTGCAAAGAATTGATTTAGATTCAGCACAACTTCTCCGTCTGAATCAGTTGGTGTTTCGAAGTCGCTTCACAGTCGAATTTAGTTGTGACTGACACATGAATAGAGGTCATGACCGGTCACCGACTGGTAACATTCTCATACGCTTCTTCGAACTCGTTAGTTTTCCAAGGGTATCCGAATTTTTACAAGAAAACATGGCGCAAGGGAAAAAGAAAGGTTAAAAAGTAAGTTTATTAGCGTACCCAGAATTGAAAGGAGAATGGAGATAACGACATCCAGTCCCCTCCATTACCAACAAGCATAGCAGGGATCGGCTCAGCCGGAGGGCTTTCCTCTGCGCCTGAAAACATAGTACATTATACAGCGTAAGTATGGTAAAATAAATCCCAAAATTTGTTCTACCCATCCTCATAATGAAAACATAGTATATTATACAGTGTAAGTAGAGTAAAATAAATCCCAAAATTTGTTCTACCCATCTTCATAATGAAAACATAGTATATTATACAGTGTAAGTAGAGTAAAATAAATCCCAAAATGTGTTCTACCCATCTTCATAATTATGCGATCACCACAGCCCTAGGTTTTTGGTTTCCGTCAATTAGACTCAGACTTTAGTTGAAATGTGAACATTCTGCAAAATTTTTCATTATCATGAGACAGGTTTGTCGCTGTTGTTGCACGAGAAAAGATATATCCCCAAAATTGCGCTGCCCGAGCAAGAAGAAAATCGGTTTACAGTCAGGTGACTAGTTATCAAAAAATCGCAGCTTATACCTTTGACAGCTATATGATGGAGCTGTTTCCATGACAACGGTCCTTGTACCATGGTGCCATTGGGTTGTTCCCATGTTTTTCGACTGGTAGACTTCTGCAAAGCTTCTTGGAGAATTTGACGCAAACCGTGAAGAGCTGAGACAGCTACAGTTGAAGCGACGTTAGCAGTGTTTTTAGATTCGTGACCTTTGAAAAGGAAAAAATACATAAATCAGCATCATCTCAAAGAACTGAGTGTATGCAAAGGACTTTGACGTCCAAATCATATTAAATAGAACTTTTAAACTTGGATGTAATATTCTCCCATTCCATATACTGTATCATTCCCTAGAGTACCATTCTATTGCTTAACGGTCGTGCATGAGAAGATACGTGAATATAGATACAGCTCAAAGAATCTTATTCTCAAAGGATTGACATGAGGTCTGGAATGGGACAACATTACGCTCAAGGCAGAGATATATTTGCGATGGGATGACTTTATTTTTGATACTCGGGGAACTGGAAAAACCCAGAGAAATGCCCTCAAATAAAGGGATAGACCGAATGAACCCCACTCACGTTATGCAGAGAGCTGCTGTAATCAAACCTGAGACGCAAAAGGTGAGAGGCAAGAGCAGAAATTGCTGGTTTCCTATCATTCCCAAGGGAATGAAATAATGATGATATAACAAAATAAACTAATGACAAGATGGCGGCTATGAATACTAGCAATACTACCCCACCCTTGAGATAACGTAATATGTCCGGCATACCTTTGTTAGTTATTGCATTATCACTTGCTGCACCATCCCCTGTTTGTTTGACGACATGAACCATTTGGTCTTTCATTGTTGAACAAGAGAAAGGAGATGAACACTGGTCCACAACAATTTCAACCAAACTTCCAAACAACGGATCTTGTTGAGGCATCGATTCATCTCGTTTTACTTCTATAGACGGTTGTCCTGTTGCAGTAACAGCTTTAGCTTTACTGGCCTGAGAAACCCAAAATTCATCTTCAGGAAAAAGTCCCTGTCCTTTACCAAATTTATGCTGTTCAAGAGATAAAAAGCCACACGTACATCGATTAGAGTCCAGTCGTTTGTCCGATAACGTTCTGTGTTTTAGACCCTTGGGGTCAGGCTTTGATAAAATCTGGACTGTACACACGCAAAGGTTCACATTATCAAAGTTCTTATCGCTAAAATAGTTGAGTTGAGAGTCAGAAAGAGTGAGAGTTTTGCTAAGAGCACTGGTCTGCTGGAGAGAGGTTGCAAGTAACTTTGAAGGAATCTTGGTTATTCTTCCAGGAATGTGCTTGGATAATTGAGCCGAGGTCGTGAAGGATGAAATAGATGAAGCTGGCGAGAGTGGAGATAGTGTGGTATATTGTCTTGGATCGCTACTGACGCTAGCTATATCACCATGGCAACCACCGATCGCTGGTGAAGGCACGATTAAAGTAGATTCAGTCTGCATTACTTCAGTATCGTTTATGTTTCTTCTGAAAGAAAAACAAAATTGCGCAAATCATTAGTATATATATTATATCGTTATTATTGGATTAAATTCCTCCTCTACTACATTTCGCAAGTAGTCCTCGAACCCTATTGACTCATAGACGGCCATGAGGGTGAGAGGACTAATCATTTCAGTCAAATCCAACTAGTAGGTCAAATATTTAGTCTTGAATTAAAGTTAAATTCAATTTTTTGGCTTTCAAACTGGCACTTTTTGCTCGTAGTAGGCTATAACTTATAAACTAGTAGTAGCTCATCCAATCAGAATGCAGCATTGAAGATAGACCACTAGTTGGATTTGGCTAAAGAATGGTAGCCATGCATGTTAGTTGCTCATGAGATAATCCTTAATAATCAATAATATATAACAACTTTTACGTTCCATGCATTTTGTGAGGCGTACAGCCAGATCGCTATTAACAGAATGCCATCAAAGAACGCTTGTGGTCAATGAATAGGAACAAGTTGGAATGGGTTGCTTTATACAGCTTAAGATTAACATCCTGCTTACTTGTCATTTTGAGATGTTGAGTTGCTAGAGTCGGTATCTTGAGACATCTAAAGAAAAAAATATCATGTATTAAYCAAAGACAACATACTTCACTCAAGGCATGTCATAACTATAACTATCAAGCTCATCAAAAACTAATGAAGTTTGTACATTTGATGTGGTATGGCCTTCAAATAAACATGTTTTCATGATACGAGGAATCGTTGCTCCCTAGCCTAATGTTTAGATATACAACGCCCTCCACATTCAGGATGGATCCCATTATCATTTAAAATTCCAACCAAAATTCTATTGGACAATTCAATAAAGCAATTGTGACAAAACCTTTTTTGGGATTGGTTGGCAAATGAGCAATGTGATYGTAATGTTTATAACCATTTAGTCCATTCTAACCATACGACTCTCAACTCATTTTAATTTCGTGGGAGTAACACTGAAGTACCCAAAGTACCCAAGTACCCAAACAAAAACCCCTGTGACAAGGGAGWGAACATCACACAGACTATTCATGTGCCCTCTACGAAAATMCAACCCGCAACCCAACCCATAGGTCTCACAGCGGCGAAAGGTGAATGTTTTACGGCTACGCCACCCTTGACACACTATTTGTTAATAAATATGAAATGTGTTGATGAAGATAACTCTTAAAATCTTCTTTGCAGCCAAGAGATTTTTCTGTATACATACCTGCCATTTGGCTTGGTTAACCAGTTTTTCAAGTGATTTGGGCAGTGGTTTCCTTTCGCTAGGAAGACCAGTCACTGGACCAAAGGAAGACGTCATTGGAAAATCTTCAATGTCTGGAATCTCAAACACTTGACCTAGTTCCTGGAAAAATAGGTTAAAGATATGAGGGAATGAATAGTACTAATTATATTAAAACAGAGAATGATCAATGTCCTGTCATTTATTGTATGTTGTTTCTGTCGAGCATTCAGTGTTTGCCACATCATCAAAGGTGRAAAGCAAAAAGTTTTTAAAAACAGCAAGAAAATGTACATTATCAAAGAAACATGCAACTATGGAGATGATGATGATGATGGTGATGATGATGGAGATGACGATGGTGATGATGATGGAGATGAAATTGATGATGATGTTGATGATGATGATGTTGATGCTGATGCCATTGATGGTGATGATGATAATGATGATATTGATGATGGTGATGATGATGGTGGTGAATAATGATGAGGATGATTGATGATAATGATGGTGATGATGATGGTGATGATAATAATGATGATGATGATGGTGATGATGATGGGGGTGATGATTATGAWGATGATGATGACCCAAAAGCTCCGGTAACAATTAAAACACCAACATGAAAGAAACAACATGCAATAAATTATAAACGAAACATGTACATCAAAATCATTAAAATGTCCTGTAAGTTATAAAGTACAGTCAAATTTGTAATTGCCGTACTCTTAAAAAATAATACTTATTTATGAATAGACTTCTTTAGCTTGTATATTGTTGTAAAAGTTTTCTCATTCCATATCATGTCAGTATATTGTTGTAAAAGTTTTCTCATTCCATATCATGTCATTCCCTTTCAGTTGCACATGAGAAGACACAAATACGGATACCATTCAAATAGAAAATCTTAGTCTCAAGAGAATGACACGTGGTCTGAAAAGGGAAACATTGCGCCCAAARGTAGAGGYTTATTCTGCTGTAATGTAGGCTTARATATCRATACRAACCTTTGGGCTAAACAAGTGTTTATGCTCCGCATCCACTCCCACTGTCAGTCCAATCAGGTGAGTTTCTGGAGACATAGCCATGCTACAGGCCATGGTCTTAACACTTCCTGGGCTGATGTAATCACTTCCAGAACAAGGAGGGGAGTGTGCAACAGGTTCAAGWGAGGGTGGAGTAGGATACATCCGTGCAAGGTCTTGAGATGCTACTACTCCAGTTGTTACGGTCGTCTGGGATGGGTTATAAGTGTCCATTGATTTATTAATTGATCCATGTCCGATGTGATTGTTACAATTGTTATCACTCATGATAGTGCTGTTAAAAGTATCATCATCATCATCAAGATCAAAAAGCTGATCAAGATCATTTGCAGTTACCATCAAGTCTTTATCCGTCATTAAATTACTGATAGGAATTGGCCGTGGTGTTGGTGGCGAAGGAAGGATTTTTTGCATTGATGTATCTTCCTCTTCTTGCTCTTTCAGTAGTTTTTCCTTTTCCTCTTGTTGTTGTTGTTTGCGTATACTCTGTCGCCTTTGTCTTGGCCGGCTTGGTTTCTGTTGCTCAACATTCATAGGTGATGGTACTGACGGACTTGCAGCACTGCTTGTGCTACTTCTTCTTCTCTGCCTGGAGCCGCGCGCTTGAGTAGGKGATTTCATTGGAGGTATTGTCATTGTCATCTCCACATCAGGCTCTTCAGTTTTAACTGGAAAAGCACTTGGAGTTATAGGTACAGCAGGAGACTGTAAAGAACTGCTTCTTCGTCCACGCCTTCCAGTGCTGGACAAACTATCTGATCTTGGCCGACCTGGTCCAACACTCTTGACTGATGGTTCTCTTTTAGTTTTCTTTGCTGGTGATGGGACAGATTCTATTTCCACATCAAGTGAGAGTCTCTTAATGCCACTGTAATTCAATAAGGTATAAAGTCATTGGGTTAAGTGCATGGATACATGTATTCTAAAACAACAAATTTTTAACAGTTCTATTTAACAGGGATCTTCGATTTCATCAACAGATGGTTGACTAAGGTGACAATGATGCGAGTGCCAAACACACTACAAACGTTACAAAACCAAAGGTCCGAAATTCCTAATCATATCACCTCCCATTTACAAATAGTATGTTTTCTCATGCAGCAAATCCCATTGTGTTTCTTGACTATACACTCAAAGGTTTAGCTTCCTCTCAGAACAGATCATTCACAAAAGTGAACTGTAATGTAAAGAATGAGCAGCTTGAACAATACCAATGTAGAGGCAAAACCTGTATATATGAGTAGACCTGTGGTCATCAAAAACAGCAGTGTACAATGATAAAGAGGATATTTSGTAGTGYAGAATGTWGAAGAAATAGAAAATGCRCACACWCGTGCTGCGTGTAGTTATGAAGCACACAGGGACTGGCAGAACACAAGAGTGTTGGRAGAAGCWTGAAAYGTAGTGGAGTTCTTCTCAACACTTCTTGAATGTTCTGCWAATCCCCAAGTATACACACAGCACAGCTCASAGSAYRGCAAGSAASTTTTTWATTGTTTYTCCCAYGYTTCCATTCAATYAGAAGAGATTTATMACAGTTATTTYATAATCAAARTTAGAAGCTCTACTCTAGCATACCTTTCCCAAAGTGGTTGACTTGTACTWGAAACGACAGTTTGAATGCTTGAAGGAGTTGAAGGAGAAGGTAAGCTTGGCGTAGGTCGACAGTCCAAAGAATTTCCAGGAAGACTAGGAATCACAAAAGCTCTTTCTCTTGGGAGCATATAAGTCTTTTTATGGGTTTTTGTTGCAGACAATTTGCACGTATATTTTGAGAAGGCTTGTGAAGATGTACTAGCACTTGCAGCACTGCTCTCTGGTTTAGCATTCAGTTCATGTTTATCAGACAACAGTTGACCACATTTATCATTCTTGCTGATATTATTACTTTGAAAGTTAGTGTCTGATGCCCCAAGACTATTTRTTTGCTTGTTACTAGTAGGCTGGGCAGGTAAGATGTATTTGTTAAGATATGTCCCTGCACAATCCGAATGCCTCTTATGACTGATGTTTGTTAGACTGTTCACTGTTGGAACGCCTTTAGTTGCCATAGAAAAATAACACTTGACTGCCTCAGGAACATCTTGCTGGAGTAATGGACGGTGATGAAATGGAATGATYGGTTTCTTTTTCTCTTTTTTCAGTTTCATAGTTGTTTGGGTGGTTTGTTGCTGTTGTGGTTGAGGTTGTTGCTGTTGCTGTTGTTGCTGTTGTTGGGGTGACGGTAGAGGATGGTTTGGTGAAGGAATGGGTCTGCTGATACCAAATGATGTCCGCACTTGTGTTGCTGGTTTGGGTCTGAAAGAAATTTATCAAGAAACATGGTAAGACTCACAATCATGGTCTAGCTAATGTCACTAAATCACGGGTGAGACTCAGACTATAGCAACTCCGTCACTTGCCAATTTAGATCACATGACATTCCCTTGATAATTGTTAATTTATGAAAGACATGTTAAAATATTTACACATGAAAGGATCGACTCCCAAGATTGGCATCGCATGGTCTGAAATGTGTACAACAAACAACAAAGCTAAAAAGGTCTAATATACTTCTTGTTCTACACTACAAACTTTTTAAACTCATTTAACACAGGGGCAAATCCAGGATTTTGTCCAGGGAGGGGTGCTGCGCACAAAGTTAACCCAGGGAGGGGTGCACCCCTTAGAATCAAAGGGAAAGGACAGTATTGGTTATCTTTGAAGTAGGGACACAAAATGGAACCAGGGAGGGGTGAGCACCCCCCCTCTGGATCCACCCCTGTAACAACATCAGGATAGGTACAATTGACTTTTTTTTAATTTGTAGAATACCACTGTGTTTCTTGATCAAAGACTTGTTTACTCAGGGTTAGCCTTATTTCAGCATCACTTTATTCACAAATACCAAGGAATAGTAAAGTAAAGAATAGAGGCTTTGCACCATCACGTGATGGCAGCCATGTTAGATGGCAGGAACAATGCAATCAATTTACATAGAAATAATTCAACTCCCAACAAAAAAGGAATTTTATTCTCCTGCTATATTAAACCACAGACAGCCCAAGCTGTATCATAAGCATGGGCACTTGATGGTGTAAAACCGCTATACTAAACTTCAGCAATATACAGACACTTTGAAATTCCACAGACCTTTCTTGAAACACATAAATGTTCTATGTAAAATTTAAGCAACCCCTGAGCGACAGAGAATACAAAAAAAAAATACAAAACTTGAGTATTACCTGCTGATGTTACTGCTTGAGGTACAGGCGCAGGTATTGCGCTTAAAAGGTTCTTCAAATTCCCATAATGGTTGTCCAATCAGACTCACTTCACCACCTGGAGATGGTGCAGTGTATGATTCTGGTTTGATGAAGCTGGGTACCAGTTTAGATGATGCTAATTTACTAGAGATAAAAATGGACATAGAAGATATTTAACAAGAATCAGTCTTTTAACAGGGTAAAACACAAACTTTCCCCTCAATTAACCTCAATCTTATCTCTGGGCTGATCTAYGTGTAAGACAGGGCACCACTAGCTTACAAATCAAACCTAAAAAATAATGATTTCTGGGAGAAGAGGGTTGACTTCACAGGAAAGTCAGAAATTTCTTTTTGAGAAAAAGGGGGAGGGCTACAACTGCTATCAACTTGTCGTTTTTCGATATGGAGGGTAGGTCCCAACAACGCTGCAAGGTGACAGCAAGGGCTAGTAATTGGCAAGAGGTAACCATGGCAACCTAGCCATGGGCCAACCTCTGCACAACTGCTAAAAAAGTTTACAACTGTGAATCCCCCAGCCCACCCCCCCCCCAAAAAAAGTTATCTTCCCCAAAGGTTGGAAAGGATCTCGTAGCAGTAAAACGTTAATCTTTCACCACCCCTACAGGCTAGGTCACTGGTTTGATTCCTGTCGACACTATGTTTTATTTATTTATTTATTTATTTAAATAATCTTTAACCTTAAAATAACTATTATAAAGTAGACTAAAATAAATAAATAAATAACTGTGAATAGAATTTGTTTAATGGTTTTAAGGGTTTTGGCTTTTCATAAGTTACCAAAAGCTCTAAATAAATTAAAATTAACTTCGAACAGCTTCTTTTTAACTAAAAWAAGAAACTACGAAGAATATCATTTTACCTTGGAGGTGGCTTAGGGGCAGTTATTTCTCTCCACACCTCTTGAACCAGGGCTTGTGTCAATTTCTTCTTGTTGACCAGATTGGGTAAAATTTTGGGCAGTAATGATTGAGAAGGAACACAAGATGACGAGGTGATGACAGACACAGATTTTTTGTCAGATGTTGARGTCTTTGAAGCATCTGTGTTGATGGGATCAGAGGGTGAAGATGGAGGAGTTAATGAAACAGATGAAGGAAGAATGGCACACTGCATTGCATCAGTGCTTGGTGCAAACACTTCTGAAAGTGACCAAAGGTTAGATAGACAATGTTAATGTGAATGTTAGAAGCGAATATCTTGAGCTGTGCAAGGATTTTACAGTGACCCTGAATAGAGATAATTTCTGGACTAGACTTTAAGGTATAAATAACATATCAATCACACRTTTTGGCTAAGATTTCATCAAGATTACATTAGTACTTTAGTACATTAGATAAATTAGAAACATATAAAAATTATGACAAATATATATTTTACTCTGAATTGCTTCTGTCACTATCCTAGAATACACAGCTATCTTTGACACCTGGTAAAACTTAGACATTTCATAATAATTAAATTGGGAATTTGATTATTGTTCTATCTGGAAAAAACAACATTTGCATGTACTACTGTACATAAATTTCTAATGTCAAGTGCACTTATAGATCTAGAGCACTAAAGCGTGACTGGTTCATCAAATTCCCAATTTTGCATCTTAGTTTTGAAATGTTCATATATGTTTGAAGAGAACACAACACATTGCCTACATTTCTACCAAAAYGAAGGTTGTTCCAAGCTGTACAAATGGAGGTACTGAGCATAAAAAACTCCCATATGTTTTCACTTATTTGGCATTGGATCTATCTAGTGTCAAATGAGAGAAAAAATATGGGGATATTTTTGAGTTCAAATACCTATATCTCAGCTGTTTTTTGCTCTATTGCTCCAAAATTTGACAGAATTATATATTTTTATATGCAGGTTCCGAAAATGTCATCAAAATGCTAAAGCTCTTTAAAAATGTTTTGTGGTGTCATCACTTCGTACTGTATTGACACTTGCTGATGATGGCATGAATGAAAGAAACTTTAATTCTGCTTGAAAGCCRTAATAAATCACTCAACAAAATACCTTTAATTATAATTTTTTAAATATCTTTAATTTTTGAATGATGCAYTAAATTATCAAGACTGATCGACCTTGGTTTTATGCTATCAGACTTGGCCAATGATTGACCTCCACAGATAACAAGATATGGGGTTTCAAGAATTTTCAATATCAGATAAAAACATACAGATGATTGTTTATTTTCACAACAATTTTCTGTCTCTCATACTTTGTAGATATTSAACAATGTTAATCTTTATGGTGGATATTCAATGTCATTTAATAGAATTTTTAAAAATTCCAAAAGTGTGGTTTTCGCATTTCATATTATTTTTTAAAATAACATAATTATATAATCAARTATTGTATCAAAATGACTATACAATAATAATAAAAACACCTTTAAAAGGTTAAAGAAAATARGTTAGTGTGCTGTGCAGTCTCTATAAACAAGGATAAAAAATTAAAAAAACAAAGAAATAAAATGATAAGAGAGTCATAGTAAATTTATTAGACTATTAATTTTTTTAGTATTTTGTAACATGTTGCAACACGCACAGAAGCCTAAAAATCAGTATGTACCATAACCATTTTCATAATGACGTAAAATTATGTTTTGTCATTGACAAGCAAATTTTTCTAGGACAAAAAATTCTTGACAAAACATTGTTTACATTCATAATTTAATTTTAATTCACCAAGCACAAAACAATTAATATTTTCATAATTACTGGTACAATAGACAACTAGCTTTACAGGGCTTGAAAATAACCTTTAATTTTACACTGTTCAACATATACAAAGGCTTTGCTGCATTCTTATTGGCTGTAATTTTACCTGCATTTGCATTGCTACGCTGCCACTCCAGACAAAAATCGTAACGTGCACTTTGCAATAGACTGCCATCAATCAAACAAATTGACGTCATTTACACGTGTTTGGATCGGCCCTGATAGGCCCGGTGAGTGTGGTTCATAATACTTGTAAACAACCGACCGAAGTTTTGTCGCCTTTTTAATCACACACACGTGTAAATGGCGTCAATTTGTTTGATTGACGGCAGTCTATTGCAAAGTGCATGTCACAATTTTTGTCTGTAGTGGCCGTGTAGCAATGTAAATGCCAGTAATGGTGTGGAACATATRAATTCATAACCTGGAATATGAAACATATTTGAAATGAAGCGCAAAAGAAATTTGTATAATTACCTTCATCATCACTGCAGGMTACCATGACGTAAGCYGAGGGGTACATCATGTTCACTTCAYTGGAAATAACCATGACCATAGCAGGAACTTCCTGGTCAGGCCCTTGGGAGTCACCTGCCATCCAGTTAGAACCAATGTCCAGAGGATAGAATTTGGACCATTCTTCAAGCAACCTGGTTGTCTTTTCATCATCAACATGCTGTGATTCACCAGTGATGAACCCACTTTGACCAAATGGACTTAGAAGTACTAAGATAAAAAAAAGAATGTGTCAAATAAGTCCAAATGTATTTCAGTGATTTTGCAGCTAACAAATTTGCATGTCGAAAACCACTACGTATGCTTTACCAATAAAATTTAGATTTCAAAGTTCTCTTATGATTAATTTTATGTCTCTATTTTTAACTCACAAATATTTTGATCAGATATTGGGTCCATGGAATAGAATAGAATAGGATAGAATAGGATAGAATAGGATAGAATAGGGCAGGGGGGCAGGGGCAGGGCAGGGCAGGGCAGGGTAGGGCAGGATAGAGTAGGGCAGGGCAGAGTAGGGTAGAGTAGGGCAGGGTAGAGTAGAGTAGGATAGGGTAGGATGGAATAGAAAAGATCTAGTAGAATAAAATAGAATAGAGTAGAATGGAATATAATAGAAAGGAATAAAATGTAAAAGAGTAGACGAGAGTAGAATAGTGTAGTATAACTTTGAACTTTGAACTTTTGTATAGAGTAGATAGAATAGGATATCATAGAATGGAAGGGAATAGAATAGRATATGATAATAGAGAGTGGAGTGGAATGAGAACAAGTGAAAGCATGGGAATAGAATAGGATCCTACCTTGAAGTCCCTCAGGCCTAGTGGATGCCAGTACCAAGTCTTCTAACATAAGAGATCTGACCTTTGGACCTTGTTGTATTTCAACTGCCGTACATACAGTACTCTCACCATGAACGAAAAACGAAAAGGAGAAGGAAAGATACTGTTCACTAGAAAATAAGTGTCAGTTGTTAATTAATGATAGATAAACATCTGAAAATGACAGATCTTACAAAGTTCAATCAAAAAAAAAATTTTACTTAACAATTTGTTGTTTAAAAAAATGATATTTATTTATTGCAAAGAAACACAATATTTTTTGCTTCATCTTGCTCGAGAGAATGACATGAGTGACAGTTTTGATTAGTTTTAATGCCTCATAGAAAATGTCCATTTTGAAAGCAGATTATAAATTTAATACATTCTAATGTCTTTTCCCCTTTAATTTGTGATTTTTTTTACCAGAACTATTTTTTTGCTTTCTCCACTTTATTACWTGTAAGGTTGCTCCTGATAGGTGACAAAATGATCCACTTCTAAGTCATTTTTTGTCCTTCACAGTGCACTGTGAGCCACTACTTTTTAAACTTATTTTATGTGTTTATGTTGTTTTTTCAAATGGCAAAGTTTCAGAAAATTGACATTTACTTTGCATTTGACAACCAACGTCCTTAATCTTGTTGTGCTTATCAGTTTAAACTCAATTTCCTGCGGAATCCATATTTAAGGAGGAAATTGATTAACTGTACCTGTTACATCCTAATGTATCACTCTTCTCATTCTTCTTCACAAACCAGCGGCCAAGACGGACAAACTTCTTCGATAATAAACATCTACATTAAAAAAATAAAATAAAATAATTTCTTTATGAGACAAAAAAAAAAGCTATGAATGAGTATACTTTAAGTTTTGTAATTGTGTTTTCACTATAATTTAAATTTCKCATCACACAATCAAATCTCTTATAGTTATAATAAAATGATCTGAATCTAAACTTGATAATAATATGACTAACAATTCCAAAATCTCATAAATTGATTAGACTTTCATATAAATATTTTGAAGTGAAAATAAAGRGTTATCACGAAAGTCATAACATGGGACCTAACACAGGAAATGAACAGCATTATCAGCAGTGTCATTCTTACTACATTTAGATATTAAAATCCCCTTTTAAAAATACTCAATTAATTGAAATGAAACACCCAAAAAAATATCCAAGTTATAGATGCTAAAGTGTTGCACTTTTTTAAATTGACACTGAATTTACAAGTGAAAGATAAAATAATTTCAACAGAGTTACAGTAAAAAGATACAGGGAACGAAATTAACTTTTAAACGCACTAGCAAAGCCTTGTTCGTACRTTTTGTTCTCATTAGCAAAGATTTCAAGGTCACTAGCAATTGGACGCAGTGAATAAAAAACTTGATGCAGGCTCTAAACTTTTCAGCCCTTCAATTTCTGGACTGTAGTCATACTTACAAAACWTTTTTTAGTTAAATTTAGTTAAAATCGGCACTCACTAAAATACAAAATTTCACTACCATTTTGTGAGTTTGCGAGCATTAATTTTGTACTGTGAAGATAGACTCTAAGATTACACTCATTYATAAGTGTTTTTGGTTGCCTCATAGATAGACATTATAATAAATCCCACAATGCTTTATTTTCAACATTTGACATCAATTTTAATGTTTTCTATTTCATTTCAAAACAATACATTTGACGCCAGTCAGAAAATAAGGTATTGTAGGATTTATTAAAAGGGTCTATAGGACAGGGCTTAAATTTGGGATATGGAGGGGTTCAGGAATAGTGTTGTTGACACCATAAATGTGKTGAACTTATGACCAGGTGGGAGGGCATATAACGGATATATTCACCAGTGGATTAATAATCAAGCCAGTCTGATAACCAAGATTTTACTGTATTGTTAACAATATGACTGAAGAGGGTTTAAAATCTCACCTCTCCAATAAATTATGCAATGCTTTAAAAAGCAAAGTCCTTGGCTCATGTGTTAGACCATCTTCCCAACAACCGTTGCTTGATTCTAAAAGAAAAGAGTTACAGGTGCTTAACAAACACATACAAATCCAATATAAAATTTCATGCTAGATGTTGTAACAAAACGTTTTTGCCTTYTCAAAAAACTTTTAGATCATGAAAAATAAAAGCAAGTATGTACAGTATGAAACTTTCACAACTTATATAGATCCTTACATGTATATTTGTGCTTATATTTATTTGCTTATTAGCTGTCTGACCAAATAATAACCTCAAAAAATCAAGCAGGTTGCATGTGCACCAATTTATTGTCGTAGTATCTATTATAGATWATAAATTTATTAATTGTTTCAACATCATACCTATTAGTTGTGAGGACACGATTCCRACTAAATTTGGCTCATCTCCATACCAGAACACCCAAAACTCCTTGGCAACATTGACATCTGACAAACTCTCCTTTGTCTTCTTTGGAGTCCTGGGTGTACTACGCCATGCACACAAGATGTCCTGTGCTAGTGCCAAGGAATAGGAAGACAGTACTGGATCCCCAGGACGAGAGGGGTCTGTATTCTTGCCGCCAGCATGAATGTACTTACGCCACTTTAGGCCACATAAGTCAGTCTAATGAAAAAAAAAAAAAATGAAAATGAAAAAAAAAAAAAATGAAAATGAAAAAAAGAACTTTACAGGACTATATGCTCATTAATATAGCCCATTGCGCASGTTTTATGCAGCATTGATGATCTAGAACTATCAGGGGGAGGAGGAGGGAATTCCTCCACTAATACACCGCCTAGATCTTCCATTTTGGGATCATAAATAATGCTCTCTGATTCAAAGGCAGGGGCCAGGCAAGCCTTTATATCCACCTAGATCCATCGATCACTGTTATGTCACCAACGGCAACTGAATCGAGCATAGATTATTTGATTATCTTATGTACTAAAATGAATGGTTCAAGGATACTGCAGTATAACGTAGCCTTGAGCAACATAGGTATATCTTATGAAATATAAAATATATCAATACGTAAGTGCAAAATGCAATCTCATTTCTTTATTTCATGCAAACCCCTAAATACCAAATAGCTTATAGTTATATATAATTATTCCTCTTGAATCACTTTGATAAAGGTTCAAAACCTCAGTAATCTTTGTCAGTATCTTTATCCTACTTAGTGTTAATCAGTCACTTATCATTCAAAGTCTCCATTTTGCATCAACCACTTGACAGCCTTTCAGTGCATTAATTCACATTGGCTTTTCAAAGTAGACATGCTGTCTACGGCTRTAAACTTTATACAAAATAAGCTATACAAAATCCTATGATTTAATGAATTACTTTTATTGCAATGGCTTTTAAAAATGCATGTTTGGAAAATATTTGAGAGTATCAGGCAGTTCCTTTGTTTCTAAATCTTTTTTATATTTAATTAAAATGAACATGTTTAAAAAAAACAAAAACAGGTTGATCCATTTGTTTCAAAAACCACTACAGCATTAATCATCGTTATGAAATATCAAATTACATGGATAAGKATATCTAAAGATTAACATTATCGGACATGAAATAAATTAGGTTACAGCTAGACTGACCAATACCTTAATCTTTGCAGCTAGTTTTTACTCAATATCACACTCATGTATTGATTCTTAATTGTTACTAAGTTGATGTAAAACWGATAATATTTTTTGCACGTCTATGACCTAAATCTTTAGCACACTAAAGARGTCAAAATTTATTCTATAAAAACATACTTTTATTTGACGTTAAAGTTTGTTTCATATGCTTAAAGCACACTAAAAAAGTCTGTAAATAGTCATCCATTTGGTATCAAGGTTTCTAATGTTTCAATTCTGGTCTAATTATCAAGTTAAGTTGCCTTTAAATTTTAATTCCAAGTTGCTATTGACAAAATCTATTTCTACTTAAATTCTTAATCATGATTAAGATAATCTATGTGTATGCTATGACTTAGATGTTAAAAAATATTTACAAGGCAACAATCAAAAGAGTTAATACAAATYATAAAGACAAATACTTATTCTTAATTGTTATCTAAAATAATCTAAATAGTGTTATCYGCAATGATTTATGATTTCTAACATCTTACATATGGTACAGAGATCCCTTTTTTCAACTTTCTTTTTTCCCTAATTTTTTTTTCTTCTTTTYCCCCCCAAAAATATGAGCCAATTATATGATATTTCTTATCTATATCATATCCATGGGTGGTATTTGTCTGATGTTTTTTATATCAACAAGGGCTTCCCTGCTAATGCATCTATAAAGYCAAAACATTATTGACAGCACAATAGAAAATGAAAGCAAAACATTTACGCTGCGAATACAATTTCACCTGCATATATAGACCCTGCAGCATATATATATAGCTTAATTTGAAGTGGGGAAAAAAATAAAATAGAATTATTTAGTTTTGAACAAAATTTTTTTTGTATTATCCTTTAAACTTAACTTCATGTTTTTCAACAACGTCTGACCTCATGCAAGGCACAGGTAATTCATAGATGARACCAGAAATAAGCATGCTGGAATTGTGGAGCGAGGAATAAAAGCATGGAACCCAAAGAATGACTCTTGAAAGATGGGAGAGACCCAACAAATCCTACTCAGGTGTGATGTCAAGTCCAGAAACCAAACCCTTGACAATAGAAGTGAAAGGAAAGAGGATTATCACCACACCACCTTTGATTTCTAAATGCATTAATCTACACTCATAATTATCTACTATAGTTTTAAATGTTTAGTGCTTTCAAGATTTACAGATATAACATGTAGGCGAATCACTAGCAGCTCACACTGGTTTTGTACCTGCGCTTCTTGTATAAAGAGGCTACAGTCATAAYTTTACAGGCTGTCTTAGGTCAGCGGTCACCCTTAGCAAGTAGCCAAGTGACCGCTTGCTAATATTTAAACAAAGGTAACCATTTTTTTTTTGTGTTAATTAATTGTATTATCTTAGGTTTGATGAATTRTCTAAAGAAAGTGGACATCTCGCTATTGTACAAATATATTGGCTTGAAGCATCCTGTGATTCTGACTAGGAGATCGATTAATGGAGGTAGAACACAATATAAGTGGCCAGTTGGAAGTCTGAATGATTTTCTGCATTATCTGCTTAAGAGAGGTGTCCATTTAGCAGTTAAGTTTACAGTAAATGTGGGAGCTCGAGATTTTCAGGATTTAATAAATGACYGTTTAATAGAAGGTGACTGCAAAAAGACCACTTAAAACAGAGGTCTTGACTTTATGCATCCTGAAAAAAGTATTTTTTTGAGACATGGGAAAAATCGAAATGAAATATTTTTTTAAAGAATATCTCCTTATCAGTTAACAATCATTAGAAATTAAAACTAAGTTTTCCAAAGGTTCTCAATAGAAATAACAAGATAAGGATAATAGGATAGCTTAATGTGTATGACATTATTTTGAACTATCATAGGTCCATGGTGACAGTAAGTCATTTTACCCTCCATTATATTGCTAATGTCAAATTTGCATTCCCTAGGAAGASGTCTATTGTAATCAATAGCAAATTTTAGCATTTTATTTCTAGATAAAGAAATTTTACAAACATTAATATAAATTGTGCAAAGTCTTAACTATAGCTAAAGGCATCTAAGAATATTGTTACTGCTTATAAGAAGTCAAGGGGAATCATAAGTAAAACAACAATAAAGTTGTGTATGTTAAGGAAACAAAAATGCACAACCAAATGGACAATTAAGAAAAAAATTATTAGTGTACATATTYATTACCTATCACACATGTTAAAATAGGTAGGTTTAACCGTTTTATATGTACTTCACTTAGGAATATAATAGAAGTAACTGTCATTAACAATMAAATGCTATATATTTATATATATATGTATATTCCAGTACTGATATTTTAAACAAATATTACCGATATAAACAAGCAAGTTTATAAAAACTCTAAAACAATATAAACCTTCAAATTTTGAAAAAACTTATTTAACAAAAAATATATATATATAAAATATAATGTAATTTAAAACTCCACTGTTTATGACTCGTATCTGACATATTATCTCACAAAAACAGCTGTTTTCAAGGTACATTACATATCATATTTCACGTTTTGAAAATTTACCAAATGATTTACCAAAAACTTTGACTTTACATGCCATGTTATATATCACCTATAAAACAAACCAATACACATGTATATTTGATATAAATAAACAAGTCAATAAAAAGCTTTGGAATTAATCTCAAATATTTGTCATGATTAAGTGCTTTCTGTAACAAAACTAGCCAAGAACCTTGTGTATTTATCATCAATATGTAGCCCAAATTACAATATTGCATGAATCATGAAATAGCAAAATTCAAGTGTGCAATATGACAGGATACATTATTTTTAATAAAACAAAAAAATTGTAAATTGGTGAGATAATCATATGCAATAAAAGTGAGTCTAGTACTATTACTAAACTATAGGTTGTATTTAACTTACAACAACAAATTAAAGTCTCCTTTGCATCTCATTTTACAAAAGTTGCTCATGCAAACTATAATATGTAAGTAAAATCAAAGGTAAACTCTAATAAGACTTTAAGATCTTATCCAACACTCCAGTAATATCAATGATAAAGAAACCTCAATCAATCAACAAGACATGATAAAAAAACTGTCTGAAATACCAGTACAAAATTATGGTTACTTGGAAATCCTAATGGAAAGCAAAAGGAAAAATGTCAATAATAATGACAGATACATCAAGGGAAAATATCATATGTTCATCTATAAAAAAAAATTGAAAGCTGCTTTTGTGAATTTATATGGTACTAAAGTTACAATTAATAATTTGGAAGTATATGTTTATCGAGGAAGAACATTTTGATTGTTAGTTAATTTTCATTCATGCAATGACATTTATTTTAAAAATTAGCAATTCCTTATTGTAGAAAATGTAAAAATATATTTTAATAAACTAGGTGTATTAGAAATTGTAAAATGGCATTTTGGTAGCCTAAGCCACCTTGCAAATAATTATATTGTAGACAGTATGTTTATCCATGTATTTGCTTTAAGTAGGAAAAACCGTGGTTTGCATACAGTTATGACAAAATATTTGCCAATGACAAAATATTTAAAGCCTTTAATGCTTTACAGAAGAGTAAAGCATTTTTTTTTTACATACGGGGGTGGAAATTACATATCCATAGTAATGAATTTTCTTTGCTAAAAGATATATTTTTGGACAGACTTTAAGCTTAAATCATTGAAGCAAAAACAATTGATAGCATTATCAATACTCCAAAAAATTGATAACATCCTTAAGACAGAGCATTTGGATAAACATTTTATCTATAGTTACAAGGGTTCAGACGTATTTAAGTGAACACACTTTGACCCAATGTGAAGACATGTTGTATCCATGAAAAAGCAACAAGAAAGCCCTTCAACAGGTATTTTTAGATGAAAATAACAAGAAATCTTCGGCAGTTGTCTATAAACTTGGCGATCACAAATAAAGCCAGACAAAATAAAGCTAAAGAATCCACATCATTTATGTCGCAGCTGACATAGTATACACCTTGCAAAATAGTAATCATCAAGACTAAACTCGTTGGGTATTTTACTAATCTCTAAATGTGGATCGACGTCTTGTTTTCAAGAACACAGATCCCTTTAGAGAAAAATAAGCCCAAGATCTTCTTCTTCTTCTCTTCAAATCTTTTTAAGATCAGTTAGGAGTGAATGGGGTCCTGGCTAGATTATTAATAATTCAAATTTGAAAAAAGCAAACGAGWGATATTAGGTAATTTTTGCCATCAATTCGAAATCATAAAAATAATCTGGGTAARTGTTCTGCACGCTTGGAATGGCTTAATTTGGTTTTTGGTCGAAAATCTTATSGAATATTCGAAGCCTAGTTCAACTTCGATAAAATGAGAAGCCCATGTGATARTACTTAAGATCGGTATATAAACTACCAGCAGTACATTGAAATTAAATACAAGTAAATATTTTAAAATCAACTGGGTTTAGAAGAGAAATTATGGCCCGGCCATTTGGCTTTGCAGGTTATCAAGTCGAACTCTAAAAGCACAATATAACTTCTCCGACTAAATGTCAACTTCATTCTTTACCACCGGAATAACGTGTTTAGAGTACACTATATAAGCTTGAAAAAAGTAATTCAATTCATATAGAATAACTTGAAATTGAGAACAGACTGAAGTAAGTCGTGTGATACGAGAATAATTATAAAATAGTTGTCTAGCAAGTTGAGTGGTGAACGACGGTAAAAGTACAAAAAAAGCGGTTCTCCTTCTCATCGACTAGGGTGATGATTGAATAAAGTTTCTCGCAATGAAGGCAAACAGCTAGCTTTTTAAAATGTGATGGTATAYGGTCGTGAAACCTGGAGGTTAATTCTCTGCGAATTTGTTTTCTGCCCAGAATCAAATCGGTTGATGAATGTAGTAAGGTTACGGTTAAGGTGTCAACACCACAAAAATACTCCTGCATAAATTTCACTTTAAACCACTGGCTTCATCATTTCCGATCGAGTACTCTGTAGCGAGAGTATTTCATCTCAATCAAAATAATTATATGGAATATTTAAAGATGAATTAATTCTACCAAAATAGAAGCCAAAAATTCGTAATACAACGAGGAATAAKTCGATGGACCAAGTTCATTCGGTTGTTCGCCGTTTCAACCGCAATTGTCGCTGTTTTAGCGAAGGATTCATAACTCTAACGTCTAAAAACCTTCAAAGTATAGAGTATAGAATTATTGAATCGGCTGAAAGTTGGGTTTTGGTGTTATTTAAGACGGGTTATTCCTCGCCTAAGTCTTTGCAACATGTGACGTTAATAAGAGGAGCCTGAAACCTCCACTGAGGATGACCACGCTATACTCACCAATGCGAATGCGTTTGAGCAACAATCGTCCAGTTCGGGTCCATGAGGAACACAACTCGAAGTAGTCATGCTAAAAGCATGACTTACTAGAACATCGGAGGGAAATTACAGTCTCAAATCCACAAGGAAAGCCTCCTGTTCTTAATCGTTTTACTTCAAAGGAAAATCGGGAAATAAGATGGCAGCAAGTGACGTTGTGGAAGCGCGCATTACACCGCTTCTGATTGGCTCGCGTCGGCCCGTCACGTGATCGATAGGAGGTCAACAGCTTTTATAGGACGTTTTCTCAACAAGTGTGTTTTTTTTCTTCTTTCTTTTTTTATTTCAAATTCCCACTAGAAATGAATTCTTAAACTTTTCTTAAAATAAAGGATAAATACATATTAAGATAATCCTMTTCTGTTTTATCAAGGAATCGTATATATGATAGGAATTACTGTCAAAGTTGACCTATAGACGTGTGTAAACATTTGTTAGAAGTTTGATCAAGTTWTTAATTTTAAAAATTCATGCCAAGACGTAAACCTGATCCGATCATACACGAGTACATTTATAAAAAAAAGTAGAGTTTAATAACTACAAGTAGGAGGAACTATAAGTGTGTGGGGAAAAAACTACGGTTGAATTTTATTCTGGTTATAAAAGGTCTTTTTTYGCGAGTGAGTAATGACCATGATGACTATCACATGTAAATAAAATATGCTAATAAAGGAATAAACGGTGAGAAGATAAGAGGGAGATTTTCACGTTTTAATTTGGTAACTCGATTATTAAATTTGCCTACCGGTATATGATATAAGAAAACCGCCTTAATTTTACATCTACATAAATGATATGTCCATTCGGGATTTTCTAGGCGTATAAAAAATTTATCAAATAAAAAAAAAACAAAAAAACAAAAAAAAAACAGATTAGTTACTGAGTTTGATGCTGTAAAATTAATAGAAAGGTCTCATATACCAATGGCAAATACTTTTAATGATTTGAGGACTAAACTGAAAACAATTTATTTATCATTTATTTATCTTTATTTGTGGGTTTAAAATCAACTGTTAGAGGACAGGCAGGTGGGTGTAGTATCGGGTACAGCCACCTTTCCTCTTTAATGGTAGCTGTTAATTTTTCGTCGCTCAAGTAGTATATTTATAAATAGAAAACTAGGAAGAAAAGAGAAAGAGAAAGAGAAAGAGAAAGAGAAAGAGAAAGAGAAAGAGAAAGAGAAGTTAAAAAGGAAATAGGAAATAGAAAAAAAGTAGAAAAATATAATATTAAGAATTTAGTAAAAAAAGGAATAAATAATTACACCTGTTGTACCCACATCGTAATGCGGGAGCTAGTTTTCCCATATGAGGGGCAGGCGGTCACTCCCCATTGACCCTAGACAAATTCAATCCGGCTCTGTCCCTTCRCCCAAAACACACGCACGCTCTACAAAATCTGAAACTGCCATGGAAAGGGGGGTCACAGGAACCTCGAGACCCCCTGGGTACACTCCTGGTATACCCGGGATTCCGCGGATACATTTCCTTGCTAACTAAATAAAACTGKGTGGTACAGGGGTTATGCGATTAAGTAAGTGATAATGAAAATAGTAAAATGTAGAGTAGGATTCGTAAATTTCAGACAATTTTCTTTGACCYGTGATTCTTCTTTTAGAATGTGCGTGATTCGGGAATGATTCGGGAACAGTTAAAATACACTTCAAATTCGTGACTCTCACTGGCTATGTGCCTCTCATGATTATACAAGACTATATCGATGCGTCAAACGCGATGCCGAAATCTACTCTTCTCCCATGCCACCCTGATAAAGCAGTCTGTAATCATTTAAGACTGCCTACTTTTGAACCTCCGATTTGAGTCCACGATCGATCGCACGATGTGCGCGTGCGCCAAGACCGCCAAATAACCTTCACAAGTTGTGAAAAACCATACACAGTTTTGAACTTCAACAAGACAAAAGCGTCAATTTTTTTCACGGGACTAGTGTACTCTTTACTTTTTATAGGCTTAATTGAAACGAGTTCTCAAAATTTACGTTGTAACTGATCATTTTTTAAATTTAATCTTTCTAGTGCAAATATTCGATTTTTGTAGGAATTTTGTTCGACTTTATCAGACTTTTTGCGGAGCACTGAAAGGATGGCAAATCAATGATATTTCTTTGTCTTTTTGTCAAAAATATCCATGTGGTATGGTAGACTGACTTACACTATAGACGGCATTTGTGCAATCATACTAGTCTGCATATGAAAGAACTATTATCTTATATGTTTTTTTTTGCTGATCGCTTTTCAAATGCTAATCATCTAAGCTCGGGACATCCCATTTTTCTTTTCATATTTGGAAACTGCATTAAATCTCACTTTAAAAAATCGTATTTTGGACAAAAGTTTAATATATATTATTTATATGTTCACATAGTATTTCTGAGAACGTTTGACTGACATTTGTTTCCGTGTTGTACCGCCCACTCAAAATCCTTAATCACCTTCTCGATGCTCAGCTGGGATTCTATTAATTATTATATTTTAAGCTGTCGAACTGAAACAAGTTAGAAATCTGAGTTTGACCAATAATGAAWATTTTTATTTGGGTAAGTTCATATTTAGATGCGAGAATTTTCTTTATGTGGAGATAAAAATCATGCCTATTTTATGTTATTTTTTTCTTTAGCTTCTTCTACAGTTGAAAAAACGAAGCAGATCCCTGTCACTTATTATTGCTTTATTTATGAAAATGGTAAGCCATCTGGCGGGACCACGTTATGACAGGAGGGGTGGGGATACTGGGTATCCCCGAAGGATGGAGGGATGATTAAATGTACATTATTGATTCCTTATTAGCATCCGTTACTTACTAAGCGTTATCGCCCTAAGGATATATACTTTTAAGTARCTGACTGGTCACCGTGGTTAACGGCACTAGATCTCGTAGAAAATCGTGCAACCAACCCAGCCAATCCACCAACACTCCCTACAAACCCATTAACCAACTAACCAACCCACCACCCCACCAACCCTCTAACGCTCCAACCCACCAACCAACCCAC